TATATATTGTTGCTAAAGGAATTGTATGTTAACGGATTTTTATCAATCAAAGTTGACAAAAGCAGTTAACTTCACAACCTATTATGTGTAGAACAGCATGCAGACATTAACACAATTTTTTTTTAACCTTATCATATACAATTTAAAAAAAAAAACGAAAGAAATTGCTTCTTTTTAAGATGTCACTACACTGTTCGGTTCGACAGTATTTTTTTCACAGTTGTGCTATCGAGAAGAAGACATCACAAGACTCAATATGGGGGATCAATTAGTCCTTAAATCGAAGAAAAACATAGTAATTTATGGAAATTGATGTGAGTTGTGAAGTTGTGTGAGCATTGTGTTTTTGAACGAAAATTTTAGTATGGATGCACTTGTATCTATACTACATTTGTTTCAGTATATGTATATACATACAATACGTAGTTACTATTGCTTAGTAGTAATAGCAAAAATTATCTTTGATCACAAGGATGATAATAAACATCTGTATGTTATGTTTATCTGAAATCAAGTGTGACTACCCGCTGAACTTAAGCATATCAATAAGCGGAGGAAAAGAAATCAAATGAGATTTCCATAGTAGCTGCGAGTGAACTGGAAATAACCCTATTGCCAGTTTTTATGTTCTGTACAATAAGAGATGAGGTGTAAAAGTGTTTTGTGCTTAATAGGAGTACAGCTTAATTATTATTGAGTGGGTGCTCAGAGAAGGTGAAAAGCCTGTGTGGTTGTACTATTCTGTTGAACCGAAGCACTGGAGAGTCTAGTTATATTTTTTTAATTTTCATTATCTTACGCGCAGCTCACTTTATCTATTGTTCTACTTAAAACTGATAGCGGATAGCCACGGTCCCACCCGAGCCCTTGTGGATCAGATGCTGCGCAAACGTACAGTGCAAAATCTCGATCCCCGGCATCAATTGATGGTTGACAACGCCTGTGCCGTGGTCACATCTATTGCCGCTCCAAGGCCGCCTGCCCGAGTTGTACAGAAAACACCAATTGAGAGGTCGGTACCGTTGAAGTTGATGGATAGATAAATAACTTGCAAATAATACCCGAAAATACACCCCGGCTCGATACTGATCTGTATTAGAGTTCACTTCAATTGTTTGGTAACACAAGATAATAGGCAAGTAGCATTGGCAGTGTTAATCTTGCCCCAGAGACTTATTTACATTTTGAATTTAGCAACACTTGTTGTGTTATTTATATCGTTGGCAGACATTGAACCAGCGATGGTCGCTTTTCGAGCACAGGTTTAGCTATGTGTCTGCATGGTAGTGCAGTGTTAACATATCTGCCTAGACTCGAAACGGTGTGTAAGTACAAAGCGTTTCTCACGACTTCGTTTGCTTCATTTTTAGATACATTCGTAAGCTCTTGTACCAAGAACTGTACAAAGGAACCGTTGACAAGGTTGTACGACAGTTGCGCAAGCTTGATTGGAGTTTGGGTTCACCTCATCTCCATATGGCAATTCGACTTTTAAGCAATGCTCACGAAGTGCGTTATTTTAATATTCGGTAAGTTTGAATGTATCATATCTAGAAAAACCATTAGTTTACTATAGTTTTTCGGGTCATTAGTAATCATTACGTAACTTTATATTTAGAAATATATTAAATCTTCCTGCGAAGTATATATTCATAAATGCATAACAGATCTGTCTCAATAGAATTATTTTTTTCGGGTATATTTTTAAATGTTGTGCTCAAAAATTATGTTACAATAAAACTCGATGTTATCGTATCTGTTACTCATTGGTTTGCATCTCATGATTCGTACATTTCGTTGCACAGATTTCTGGCTCATGTTGTAGCTACATTGGCCACGTATCAGGACGGAGTGGGGCCTCGTGTTGTCGATGCTGTACTCGAGGAAATTCGTCTTGGGATGGAAGTTATTGACCCCAAATATAACCAAAGGTATTTAATCGTTTCTTTATTAAGTAATAATGATCAGGGTGACAGTTTAGCAGGTTCTGAAGTGATTTTTTCAAGCAAAGCTCATGTGTGATTCACTGTCACTCCTGCATATCTTGTGGCTGCCTAGTCGTATCTCTGTGCGCTCAAGTAAACTCCAGTAGGGCGAAATTTAAAGGATAACATCGGAATTGGATGCGGTACTGTAGGTATTAGCTGGGGCATAATCAACCTTTCGCCCGGTTGTAGGGTCTATTTGCCAGTATTCTCATAAAATGCCTTTCATTATAATATAGTCGTCTATAGAACACAAGTGCGTTTTGATGGTTCTAGGAGAGTTGCGGCTGTTCACTATCTAGGCGAACTCTACAACTACAGCATGACCGAAAGCGCCCTTATATTCACGGTACTTTATTCACTGATCACGTTCGGGGCTGGTACGCCGCTGGACCCACCAGAAAATGTATTTAGGTCGGTTAAAGATTATTTTGTTTGCTTTCATACTTCTTACAATTCTAGTTATGTAATTTGACCGACAGGTTTATGCATCACTATTCTGTGTCCCAAATCTAATTTAGTTTGTCGAATTCGTGAGCATAAATTATTTTAATAATATTTTGAGCTCGGAAGAAAACTAAGTTTGAGTATATACAATAAAATACGTCTGCATAAAAGAAGAGGCCTTTTTGTGTTTGATTTCAACCTCGGCGTGGCATTTACCTGGAGCTAAATCTCGATTATGCTTTTACACAAAGTTGTTCCAATAAAAGTCGTTACCGGCTTAATGAATAATCCTGTGAATAACTAATATGCTTCATGGTAATGAGGTCAACAGGCTGAAACTGGTGTGCTGCCTTTTGGACACATGTGCAGTGTACTTTGATACCGGCAGTGCTAAAAAACGCCTGGATAGCTATCTGCACTTCGTACTTCTTTATTTTTGGAAAAAAAAAGAAGATTTCGGCGAAAACTTCCCCGTTACCGTTGAGCTTCACCTACGGGAGAGCATTCATCCGCTCAGACCAAAGTTTCAATGGCCGAAATCTCTTGAGGCGGCGCACGCGGCAGTAAACAAATTACTTAATCAAGCTATAACTGCAAAAGCTGAAAAGGACGCTAAGGTTTGTATTTCTGAAATCAGTGTTACCAAGCAGGATAGATGATCGAGTGTCAGCTGATGACTAACTAGCAGAATCTGCTAATTATTCGGACATTCTATAGTAGGAAAGATTTAATTTCTATTGAATCAAAAGGGTAGTCAATATTATACTGTGTATCACATATAATACTTCGAGACACTCAGTGTACAGGTTTACAGTTTACAATGTACGCTTCTTATAAACGACATACTAAACATTTACATGTCGTTTAAATTTAATAAATTTTTTAAGTTTTTACGTCTCTTACTATAGTTGAGCATTGCTCCGGTGGCCTCTTTGAACACAAACATTTCGGTCTTAAACCTAGAACGTTCCACGTGTCTTTAAGTTTAATAGGCAAGGAAGTTACCTCTATACTGTCATGAAAATCACTAAAACTTAGATGAAGCGTGTGCATCATGGACTTGTCATTATCCTAACTTTGTTGCACTCTCATGCCTGAAACAACACTTTCGTCTTTTTTTTTTGTTGAATTCCTCTTAGTAGCATGAATATAGCTTCAATGGATGACCCAAAGATACGATTCCATTATGTGTACAAACTTATTGTACTAACGTTCTGTCTGAGTTTTTTTAGAACGCGTCTATTAAAAACGGCGGCAGTCGAAACCAACTAACAGGGCAGTCGGTGACGGTTGAGAATGGCACAGCCGCCCTCATATCTGGTGTCGCGTCTGGTTTGACGCCAGCAGCCGAAGATTCCGAGGGAATGTCGGATGGAGCCGAAGAGGACGGTGAAGACGAGGGCGATGAAGACGACGATGAAGAAGAAGAAGAAGATGATGATGATGATGAAACCGAGAGCGACGAACTGAGGGATGAACCCGAAGAGGAGGTTGAACCAGACGAGTTCCAACGGGAGTTCGAGGCCGAATTCGAGGAGATGGTCTACGAGAGTATGGCGCAACGCTCTCAGGACCGCAGTCAACAACCTCAAGTAAAGGAGATCATGGTTCCACAGTTAAGCAGTCAGCAACTCCAATTGCAAAAAACGGGCTGTTCATCGTCTCAGTTACTGGGGACCGGGACCTTTTCCACTAGTGGTATAACGCCGCCTTCTGGCCTTTTGTCTCTGTCTGCTGGCGCAACGGCCGACGAGTCTTTAAGCGACAATAACGTTACGAATCACGCCACTATCAGTGGTTATAATGCCAACAACAGTACTGCTAATGACGTTAGCAGTAACAATAACAGCAACGGGAACAGCAACATACCAAATGCTGGTTCCTCAGGGGGATCCGCGGGCATTGGCCCAGGTGCAGCAACAACTGGAGGAGCAACAAATTTTGTTATCATGATGCGATCGCAAAACAACCGCAACAAACCGCTACTAAGGCAGATCCAGCTCGAGGATAGTGACGAACTCGCAAAGAAGATTGCACTAACGCAAAAACGTGAACGCGAAGAGAAACAACGAATGAAACAGCTTACGCTGAACATGAATATGAGGTAAGTGGTGAATGATTAATATCGGAAAAATTATGAAGTTTTTTAAACTGTAACAAATGAGGCATTTTACAGTTTGTTGGTTTCATTACTCAGCAAACATTAAACTGTTCCTATTACAAAGACATGAGAGGAATAAGGGAATCAAGAGGCATAATCGAACCCTCTAAAATGTGGTTGAAAAAAGTTGGATTGGCAAATCAGTTTATTGGAACAAACCCTGACATTAAGGATCCCCTGCCGATACATATTAAAGTCTACATTATAAAAAACAATGTTTAAATAGTAGCCTTCTAAGGTAGGTCTACACACAAAGTTTGTTTAGCGTATTAATCTATGTATATATACCGGAGATTAAGGAAATCGCATGTAAAACTCTGCTGCATCGATATTCTATTGGAAATATGTTCTATATCTTTTTTATTACAAGACAATATAATAATTCTAATAATCTAATTTATGTATAAAAAGTTCATTCAAAAATCAAATATTTTTTTTCTAAAATGGTGTTTGTTTTCTTGGCTTAACAATGATTTGGAAAAGATATGGGAAGGGGGCGCAGACTCAACAAGATTTTATACAGCTCTTGAACCGCTTATTGACTAATAATGTCCATTGGCTATTTACTGATCTAAGTGAGAGCTACAGTCGCTCCCTTTAGTTAAGTAAATGGTTGTTAGAACGCTGTGTAAAATTTAGCGTTACGGTGTTTTACTCACATCAACGTTCAAAGGTGTAACAAGGCTGTTTATTCTGCAATACATAGTCAAAGCTTACTAACAATTTCATACGGTCTCATAAAAAAAAAGTAAGGCAGCGATGATAAAGTATGATTTGTTAAAGATAAATAAAAGGAGCAATAGCTTGCAAAACGCAGACGCTTTCCTATTGAGTAACATAAATTCAGTATATCAACATTGCGATTTGTTCCAAAACACAGAGCTTTTGTCGTCTGGTTATTATGAACGTTCCAACTCAATGAGAGAATATTGTTGGGCGGTCTGAGCATGTCATCAAAGGCATGAACCCCTACATCGTAGACGTCGGCACCGATTTTTTGTGTCGCCGTAGCCGGAAGTCTGACACACGGCGCGATAAAATCTGCGGACCGCGAAACACAACGTTGATTTGTCGTTAATCCTGTCAGCTAGAAGTTCGAATCTGTATCACTTATTTATTTCACATTTTTAAAAAAGTTGCTGGAAAGCTTCTATTTCGGGTACTTCAAACCGTATCGGAAGCTCTTCGACGACTAATAGCATGTCGTTGTGCAAATAGACAAGTTTATCCTGTGTTGAAATTTAGTCTCAGAATGCGATTTGGAAAGGTTGGCTTCACGCGACTGATCCCGTGAGGTTGATTGGTCTTCAGGAGCTTCCAGATTAAGCGTACTTCATTCAAAGCACAAGGAGCTAAGTGGAAAAAGCCCAGGACTGTTTTTAGTGAAAACTTGTATATGTTTCCAACGGACGTTTGCGACGAAACTTTATAACCTGCGTCTTTCGTAAGTTAAGTTTTACGCCCAGTTTGTCGACATACCTGTTGAAAGGCGTCAATTTTGCTGAAGATAATATTGACGCGAGTTATATAAGGTAAGTGGCATATAAAAATAGCTTTACTGGTAAATGATGCTTTTCGATTTCGTGGGGTATATCACTGACGATCACGGAAAGCAAAGGCGGACTGTGATTCTCACCTTGAACAGCTTCGTCGGTTTGGTGGAAAAAATCCAGCTCGGTGACACCGCAATCTACGTTCATTTCGTCTTCTTGTAGTTTTGATCTTAGCAGCTCCACAATATAGTCGGGCACCTCAGCACAATCTAGTTTATAGAATGCAGTGCCTCTCAGACCCATGTCAAATGAGTGTCAAAAATCCACGAATAAAGCGAATGCATGTTACAAGGGATCTTTGGGACCCGCTCAATGTTTTTTTTTAAAAGGATAGCACATGCCGTGCATGTTGAGTATTGCAATTGAAAATAATGGTGTGCTTCGGAGGTAGTACTGACCGGCTTGAGATCAACGATACCCGATCTACGAGTAATAATAATTTCCAAGAAAAAATCTTCTTTGTTATCCTGGCGAACTAGACTGTCTTTTGACACCGACTTTTCCTTTGGGTGTTATCAAAACGAAGATTTTTCGTCACTTCATTGGAACGTAGCCAGATTTTAGCAGATGAATATTAAATAGAACTGTTCAACAGGGGATGGGAATGTGGATCATGTCAGGGCTACGTGCCTTTTTCCACAGAGCATGTATAGATTAGACATTACGTCCCTCACATCAGTGTTTTTATCGAGTTCTTAATGGACAAGACCAAGCGTTTACTGCTCTCATACGACTGCATAAAACGTCGATCCTGCAGGACAGTGACTCGGTCGGCTAAAGTGATTCATTCGTTCAGTATGCGGTGTTCGCTTTACTGTCATATTTTATGACTTGTTACTGTTACGTAGATGACGTATGACAGCCTATATCGCGTCCATATTACAAGTACATCACGTTTACAGATTTCTTTCATTCTTCCTACAGGCAAGAGGAAGAATCGTGGAACGATGACGCCCCGGATGAACATTTAATTGGGCCAGAACGGAAGTTTGTTCATCCAAAGGGGGCTCCCGATGCGGATCTTATTTTCGGATCGAGTTCACGTAGAAGGTAGTTGCGGCCTTATACAAAAAACACCAAAAAAAAAAACGCGTAACGCAGCTCAGCAACTACGACAACGTCGAGTAAACGGAAGTGGCCACTGAGCTGGCTGCTAATCGGCCACGCTGCCCGGCCGATGAATCGGAACTTCATATCTCGGCTCGCGAGTGATCTCTCCAAGTGACACTAAGATCCTGCAGTGCCGAACGGAACTTTCTATGAACTCTGAGCCACCACTGACCCAGTTTCGAAACAGGCTTGAGACGTTACGTGTGTCCTGTTCGTGAATCGTTTCAGTTACAGGCAGCAGTCTACATACGAACTAAGAAGGCAAATACATACAAACGTACCTCCTGGCAAAACGCAGGAGCGGCCAGCTAGTTGAATTATTCAAAAAAAAAAAGGAGTTTTCTTTTTTGTCACCAACATCACAAAGTAAATATCTAATCTTCTAAAAAGCTATGCATAGATATCGGTCGAAAACGGGAAGATTATAAAATCAACCTATTGTATTCTGTTCCTGTTTTGTCAAGCAATTCTAATATGCAGTCGAAATACGCAACTACTTAATTTCTGACAGCAGACAGTATCAAAACGTGTGGGAAAGTATTAACGATATCGATTTTCGCCGATGCATTTTTTGTCAGCATAACATGAGAAATAGTTGGCCAGAACTTTGTTTGAATTCTGAAAGAAAAGCATCTGTGTAAATATGGATCTGCTCGATTTAGCCAAATTTGATTCGTCATCAGCAAGGCCGAGATCTCTGGATCGGTAGAGAGTGCGAGTGTGATAGTAAAAAGGAGGCGGGGTGGGTTTCTCTCTTCATTGACATCGTTTGGCGGAGACCACAAGCTCACCGTTATCAGGATCCGTATGCAATCTGTTCAGATAGATTCAAAAACAATGCCAGAGGTTTCATCAGTTCAACAATGTGTTAGTCCTTCTTGAATACCATGGATATAAACAATATCAGGCGATACGTTAAAGTCTTGTTGGAAAAACGATACAATTACAAATACTTGTTGACATAAAACTGTCTGTGTTTAGTGTATGATAATATTAGTATATGGAAGATGTGAGCGAAGTGCTTTCACTTGCCGGAGCTGGACCGTGAGATCAGTACGAAAGATCGCGTCCGCAATAACAACAAAAACAATACTAAATCGCGTCTGCAATAAACATCAATTTCAATAGCAAATAACAGCGTAGTTCATTACTAAGTCAATTCTGTCGTCCGTATTCGCCTGATTATGTATGCTCTCTATTTCTGACATATGCTATGCGATAAGCAGAAAACAAAATTGACCTTATTAGTTTAGTTTATTATATCTTTGAATATAAAGTATTACAATTTCGATCACACCTGAAGTGATCAATCTTGAAGGTCCTATGTAGTCTCTGCGAAGAGGACTGGAAAGTATCGGGACGACTATCACAAGTCAAATAAAATTATTCTTCTCTCGTCTGTGGTTCATTTTGTAGAAGCGCATTTTCATTCTGGAATATATTCGCAGATTATACGGTCGGCGTAACGGTTTCAGGTTAGATCAGGTACAGCTTGCGGTAAAGGAGAACGGGAACTATAGCCGGCGTTTGTAACGACATAAGCAAGCTCAATGGCGTTCTGTTTGTTTTGAAAGGTTGAGCAATCGCTAAATATTTTGCATTAACTGACAATAAGTGATTTGTATCGTAAAGGCTGGGGGAATCTTCAGATTTAGACGATTTAGCTCATTTTTCATTCAAAAGTTTGTTCCTGTAAGTTGCTCGACACAATCATCGATTTGTATAACTTTCAAGCCTCGATCGCCAATCATTAGGGCAGCGTTCGAGTAATAATCAGCTGTTCATAATGTTATAAACAGACGCGACTTGCGTCAGCGGACCCGAACCTTGATGTTTCATGCAAAATTGCCGTTTGACAAACGATTAATAAATGTTCCGAGTTTTATGTGCTAGTCGCTGCCGGACAGTGCCTAGGCATACCTAGCTAGGCTTCTCATTCATTCAGTTGTTCTATTCGCTACGTTAGCGTCATTTTCTCGTTATATGTAGACAAAAAAGTTACACTGCATGTTGCACTTACTGCCTTTTGGCTTACCAGCCTCTTATGCCTATGTTTCGAGCACCGCTGCATGAGAAATAGTTGACTGCCATTAATTCGGCATCAGTAAGTGACTCGAAAGCGAACCAGGCAGGACAAACCTGCTCGGTACTGAATGAAAAGCAAAGTCTGCCTCGTTTGACCCCGACAGCAAGTACCGCTACGGCAACAGAGTTGCATCGGGGTTGAGGCAAATATATTTCGTCTGTCTCTCATGTCATCTCTCGTATTTCTCATGCCTTTTTGGAGCGCATTAAGATCGCGGTTACAAGCAGTCACCTCGCTTCTCTCAAATAAAGGGCTAGCGTCGCGTTGTTTAAGAACTCAGAAACTGCGTATTTTCTTACGCTTCATTCATTCTCTTTCGGGACACTTACTTACGGTATAGTTTTGCTCCTTTTATATAACCGTTTTATATCTTCATTCGATCGCATTGCATCCCATACGTGTTCGGGTAACTATCTTCTCTACTTTGGTTGAGGATCCTCATTCGTTGAATGAATCTTCTCTGCATTAAACGTTTGAAATACACACACAGGATTTTCAGATTGTTTTTTTACAAACTCAAGGAAAGTCCTATAAATACATACAAGCACAAGCAGACCTAGCCAAGTACGGATCTACGCATAAATAGGTATAAATAGGTTTTTACAACTGTCTACAATCGGTCCCAATTTGGATGAATAAAAACAAAATGAAGAAAAGAAGGAGAGAATTATTTTGCCAAGTCCACTTTAGAAACGACACTTAATGGCATTTAGATGTCGAACGGAGAAACGTATTGTTCGTGCAGGAGAAGCGCGGATACGTTGGAGCATATAATTATAATTGTAGAGATTTTAGTTTAGAATTAAACGCTGTGATAGATACACGCACATTCATCTTGTTTCGGATCATTTTTATTTATCATATTATTGTTATTTTGTGGGTTACCGTTAATTAAGAACGCTCCTAGTTCATAAAATCGAATACAATTCACTACTACGAAACGCTCGCAAATAGTTGCCCACTTGGCCAACATGTATGTCATGGTATTCTCAAAGATTGGCAGTAAATTCTACCACGACTTCCCTTTTCGTTGATCTGTTGTTATTGGACGCAATATCGTTTCTCACTGATAGTACGATCAAGCGATTTTACTAGGGCTTTGCTAATCCCATTTCTTTAGGTCTGAATAGGACATTTGTAATATTAAATAATTGCTGCAACGACTAAAGGGTACCTGCTGGTTGTTAGTGACATAGAGGTTGTTACTATTGCTTACTACTAGAGCGTAAAATAAATCAAGAATATGTGTGATCTGAATTAGTAGAACGGATCCCAATGACGGTAAGTCAAAATTAATTCTTTCACACTGGATTATTGCTCTTGCACTGGCTCGCCCCAAAACGTTCTGTTTTACACTTAACAGGCCACAGTTGACAGAAGCAGGCTGTGTTGGCCAGCCGTTCGATTATAACAAATTGAAGCAAACATTTCCGTTGCTTTTTTCAAGTACTTTAATTTATTGTAACTTTAGGGCAAGTGAACCCATTTTAGTGCAAGTCATCACACTTCCTTTTGGAACTTTCCTGGTGAATGCAAGCGATTGCCAACAATCTTCTGACGTACTTTAAGCTGTGAAGAGAGCTATCGGGTCGACTAGTCCGCGTTTTACTAAAGGAGTGTCGTCTTTTACTTCTTATGGTCGTCCAAAGCGGTTCAGTACTTCGTTGTTATCACTTTATAAAGCGAACTCTTTCATCTATATAGAAAAGGGGCAGCTCCTTTTGGACAGGTGTGTCCTGCACCCGTCAAGGAAATGGACAACGATTTTTTATCCATGGCTGAATGCACAGCGCTAGTAAATGTCAGACAAAGATTCATGCCTACAAACAATAAAATGGTGTCCACTAACGTCCTTGAAAGTTTTGCGCGGTGTACACACGTCTTTAGAAAATGCTGGAAGAGAGTCGATAGACTTACTAAGGGGATCATGAATAATAAGAACAGACCTCTGCGCAACAGATTTGCTAGAGTCTTGTAGGTAGAAGGTAAGTCAGACCTGCGATTCTACCTAATTAAGGTTCGGGCTGATACGAGAAAAACAAATTTCAAAAAATGTTTACTTGTTTTGGATACGTCGCGATCATCTGTATACAAACCTCACTTTGGTCCGAATTAAATTGCACTTTCTGTCGTTGCATTTTTCAATGTCTTGCTGCGGCCATTATTTCGTCAGACCAAGGAACTCACGAAGTCCGCAAGATCGAAGCTGTCCAAGCCCGACCAAGTGCAAAACTTCCTCTAAGTAAAAAAGGCGCAAGTTTCATTTAAGCCAGCAATGTACCTTCAAGTCCTAACTCTGTGCAGTGCCGTAAACGAGGTTGAGTGCAATTTCACACTCGTTGTATAGAAGCACTGCTGGCCTTTCTTAGCCCTAAAATTTTGATGAAATCAAATATTCATAAATACATACTATTCATGTACATTTCTCGTTCCGTTTTAGAATGATTCAATCACGAAGGTATCATATAGCTATTAGCACACTGACAATATTTGGTGTGACGCTTCTATTACGTTAAACACTAGGAATATTATGGTAGTCAACGTATTACATATAATTATATTGGCTTTGCTGCTACCGCAAGCAAGTCCCCTCCCTCTGCAAATCCAATAACCAGTTTTGAATAGAAACAAAAATGTGTGTGACAATATAAAATAGATGTATGGGATATGTAGTAGATAGTGAGTTTTAAAACTCAAAGTGAATTCTTGAGATTTTGGTAGTGCTCAATAAACGAAGGATACTTTCCACGTGATTCCGACACTTATTTAACCGCCAAAATTCAAAAAGGACACTGACGTAGAAGATATCATATCGGAAACTATATTACCAAAAGAAAAAATCTGCCTCAAATCAGAAAGCGAACACATGTGTACGTGGTAAAAAAAAAATGCTATATTTCCCCGGCTTCCCTATTTAGATATTAATTTTTAATTTCTCGCGATAAAAAGAAACCTCATGCCTTATGAACTTGTTAGATAAAATGCTTCATTTACAAAGTTCTATAAGAGCCCACTCTCTGCCTCCTGGATTAACCTCAAATTTGGAAATATTCTGTATATCTCGTGCTATATCAATTATTATAACATAAATACATGAATAAATTCGCGTCTTTGGCTACATAAAGAAGTGAATAGTTGTGAAACATTTATTTCTGCCAACTGATAAAAAGCTAAGCCAGTCCGCTTCAATATCGAAGGTTGTTAGAAAAGATAACTGAAGAATACACAAATGAAACAGGAGCATATTTTTTCAGCCTTCGAAAGTATTTATTTATCTCGCGCTTATTTTTATTAATATTATGGCCTGTCATTATTACACATTCAATAAATAAAGCCGAAATTTTGAAGCAGCACTGCGAAATGCATAATTATTATTACAGTTATTGTTATATGATAATAATAATGGTAAAGGTAATCATCGTCATATATGATCGTCTTCTCCGATATCTTCATCATCACTTAGCTAGTGGCGGTCATTATCCTTTCTTTTAATTATTACTACAAACATCAATTGGAAGAATGTTCGGGTCGATTGTCGTTCGTGTCAGCGCATGAAATCTATATCGCCGTCTATTCAACTATTGCGTATGGCTGTTATTGATTGCATGGGGAAATTTCTGGGCGTCCTCTGCTTACCTCACAACCATCTTTGCCGCTAGTGGGAAATTCTGCGCAAGCCATGTACGTGGTTTTGGTGTATCGACACTACAGGCGTTTGCCCTTGCCCTGCCCCGTTCGACTACGTGTTTTCACCTGTCCTACACATTTTTTTTGGGCAAGTGCCAATTTTGACGAGACACCTCCGCTAAGCTTTCACTTTGGCCTACCTGCCTTTGTCCGTCCCTTTCCTGCTCCTTCTTGTCTCTTTTTGCTCCCGCTGTGGATAACGCGTTTTTTTTGGACATTTTCGGGTAACAATCGATAAATATCTCTGAAACAACCGGATCTTGGCAATACTATACATATGCATAGGTTGAAGTGTGAGTCACATCTCTATGCGCAGGTATGCATGCCTAGCCCGGCTTATAATAGTAGAACCTGACCTACCAGCAACCGACTACCAACTGGAAGCGGCTCAAAAAACAGTGAAATACAAACAAAAGGGCAAACAAGTGTCACCATTGGCAGCAACCATTTTTTTTTGTCTACGTGTCGACAATTTGTTCCATATCATTTTTCGTCTTCGTTACTATCCTTTCCGCTATTATGGGGCATCGCTCGCGATTGCCATCATCAGCTTGGGTATTGCTTTTCGTCGTTTGCAGAAGAAAGCCGAAACATTAACAGTCAGAGTAAGTTCCCTCAACAAAGTTTCGTACACACTCTCTTAACTCGTTCAGTGTTTATTTTTTCGCCGTTCTGTTTCGCGTCATGTTTCCTAACCATAGAATATCTGTGCTTTAATTTACACAGATGCAGCTGTCTTTTATTATTATTGTTGTTGTGTTTGTTACTGTTGCCGCTCTTGTTCTGTTATCCAACTCGTATATATATATATATATATGTATATTTTTTTGTGTATGTTTATGTATATATTATTGTGCACGCATCATCAGTTTGCCACAAATATCGTATCCTATTGTAGTTGCACGATTGCGGTGTCCCACAGCGAGATTTTTAATAATTACGAGGAGTACTAGTGGACGTGGCATTACCATCTGATCACCTGCGGCTAAGTATCATGTCATACGTGGAGTTCTGTTGGATGAGGATGCAAGTACAGAAGGCCCGGGCATAAAGGCATAGACGAGTCTTTGTCAAATCGATGGCAAAGCGCGCGGTTAGGAAGGATTACATGAGAGAAATAAAGCTAGATAGATAACGATAACAGCGGTAACAGAAGAAAAACAATCAACATCCCACAAATACGGCGTATCGCGGCGACATGGGTTAGACGACGCATAGACAGTGGTCGACTACAAATGCCATATTACTCAGTGACCACTTCCACGCTGCTATGAAACTCCCTTAAGAAGAAGTTCATGTAAAGGGCCCGGCAATTTGGTTTCCGAAGAAGAGGACGCCCTTTCGTTGAAAATATCATGGTTGCTGCCTTGTTCCGCATTTTTTTTATATTTCGTGCTTTTCATTATTGTTGCCAACTATGAAATGATTACCATTGTTTACTATTATTACGTTTCGACGTTCAAAATCGTGTCGAGGAACTCATGATGCTCATACCTGATAGAGTTTCTGTACGTCTCAATTTAGGTGTGCCTGTATACTGTTTTTCTTCTTTACGTATGACCTTGCTAAATAAGACAAACGCTTGCTTTTTACCTTTTGTATTCTCCTCTCTCTTGCTCTGTCCTTCTAAAGTTACCCATTTCGCCTACATCATACTCTTACGGTGTCACAAGCTTCGAACTTAACGAATCCTTCTACAGTTTCAGTGGGTAATGTATGTTTTGTAGTCCCTTGGTACACTTCATATGAGAAAGCGAGACCGTTACGGTGTACTTTATCGTATGCATCATTGTCGACGTCGTCTTTGATTAGGCACTGCCTGGTTGCTGGGTGACTCCATCGGTCGAATCGCGGCCAGTGTTCGCTTCCATCGACGCCAACGTCCCCCAGTGCCGATGGCTGTTGACACAACCCTGTCAATTTAGCATACCCGAAATAGTAAAGCGTGGATCACGCCTGTCACAATATTCCGCTGGACTGCTTTGTTAACAGACGATAGAAGACCGAGGTTTTCGCAGCGAGGGCCGACGGTGACAGATGGACTCGGCCTTGGCACGATGTGGATTCGACGAGGTCGTTAAGCTGATCGGGTTACTGATGTTCGTCTGCTGCATTGCTTTTGCAGTTTTCGTTTTACATTTATGCTCTTTTTTGAAATGATTTTTTATCCGCTATCGTTTCAGTTAGCTCACTTCAACATAAATAATAAATCATCATCATCATCATCTTTGTCTGCTACGCGGTAGTGGCATTTCGTCGCTCTGTTGTACTACGTTGTTGTAATTTAGATTGATGCTTTGTTTGCTATTTGTTCTTGTCGTTGCTTTTCTTTGTTAGGCCAAACCGGCACCGTGTAGTGGAACTCCTCATTTTGTGACGCGATATTGTGTTATCGCTTTTTGTATGAGTATCTTCTATATGTTTGCGCCAACTTCAGTTCCTTTCGTAGCTCATGATTATTCTTTCCTAAGGCTTCTACATTTGCCATTTCTGTTGCTTGTTGTTTTTGTCACCTTTATACTGTAATGTATTCTTGAGTTGATGTAATGACGAGGGCCTGAGGTTCACTATTACTTCATAACTTAATTGTTCGCACACGCAGTTCAATCACAACATTCGTGAGACTGACTGCCACTGCTCCGCTTGGAGTCGTGTGTAAAAGCCTCATCAGAGTCGCATGATACTGGCGAGTGGTCCCGCCCACTGGTACCCGTTGGGGTAGGTAAGTGTATGGAAATTCGCTTGTGAGAGTGGTAGATAGCGACTTCACTCATAATAATGTTGTGGTGAGGTCATAAAAGCATTGCTTCGGTCGTCGTTATTTTCGAAGTAGTGACAGTTCGCGTTTCCGTGGTTAGATGTAGTCACGCAATATAGGTTTAGTCGTTGGCTGATGTGTGTTTGTGTCTGGCGTAACAGAATGAGTGGAGGAGATTTACATGAGTTTCTGTTTGGCGCAGTCAGGGCAGAGGATGTCACTTTCATCGGTGATAAAACCCTTGCCGACGAGCGAGCAGCGGCACATAGCACAGATGAAGCACTCATTATGCCAATTGCGATCCTCGAAGGAAATGAAACGAGTGCCACCAATTCCTGTTGAAAACAATGAAAATTCACAATTATAGGAGTGAAAATCGTTGGCAAATCAAGCGTACTGGCGCTTAGTAGACGAGGACTAGTAAAAAAAAAAAAAAAAAAAAAAAAACATACACAAGATGTGAATTAGAGACGTTTGCCTACTACTCGAACGGTAAATTATGCTCATGATCATTCCTAGGTATTTGGGTTAAACTCCAATTAGGGTAACGACTGTTGAGTCGATCTTTTAGCATCGTGGACCAGCCATTTTGTCAGGAGTGACTTTTGCTCGTAAAGAAAAGTAACGAATAAACCATTTACTTTCCTATAGAGTAACCAGTAGGTGTCTTTATTCTATGGATACAAGAACGTATAAATGGTGCTATTTAGTTTTCTGGCGTCCTTTTTCTTTGTACGGTACTCACCGGTGATGGGCCTCGTGCAGGATGTACAGCGTTTAGCAAACAGTTCTCCAAAACAATCGGCGCAGTAAGGTTTCTCGTCGCGCGAGGTAAACCTCTGGCCAGCCAGACAGGTGTTGCAGTTCGAGCAGCAGAAACACTCACGGTGCCATGGCTCGTTACGATACGTTACACCACCAGACTGAATGATTTGATTGCATTTGATGCACCTAAATATAAATCGGGCGAAAAAGACAGACAAGTTAGAGAAAATGTCGATATAATCGATTTTGCTGATAGGTCGAGGAGAGCACTGGGCCTGTATTGATATCAGAAAAACGATATTTTTGGAAATGCTTTATTGATATATTGTTTGCCTGAGTATACTCCTGCTACTTTTTGTCTTGCTGCTTACTTTAACAGCGACATATATAT